GTTTGGGATTATATCATTACAAATTAAATTTAACCTGTTGGCTATGATCTTTATAAAGATTTTTGCATCACTGTTAACTAGTGAAATAGGTCTTCAGTTGTTTATATTGTCGAGCTCTTCTGATTTTTTTAGAATTAGTATGATTAGATTCTTGCATCATAAGACTAAAAGAATGCCAGAGTTTAGAGTTTTATTAAAGATCTTCTCCAAAACTGATGCTACTGTTCCTTTTGTAAGTTTGTAGAACTTATAAGTTAAGTCGTTTATTCCAGAAGACTTGTTATTTGGTAGGTTTCGTATAACTTCTATTATTTCTTTTTGTATAATTCTTTTGACCAAAGCATTATTGAATTCATGTTGTACTTATAGAAGGTTTTCTGTGATTTTTTTTGCTGCTTTTTTGTCAAACTCTTCTGCTTTGTAGGTTTCTGCATATTGTTCTTTAATATACTATAAAATGTCCTTACTATTTTGATGATTACTATTTGGAACTTTAATTTCTAAGTGGGCGGCCTGGAATTTCCTTTGTTTATATTTTGCAAAGAAATATTTTGTTGACTTTTTACCTTGTTCTATCCATTGCACTTTGGAACAGATATGCTATTTTTCTGCCAAAGCTGTTAATTCCTCTTGTAGCTATACATTAAGCTCATCTAAAAATGAAGACAAGCTTTATGTATTGGAGGAGCCAGCTATTTTTTCACTTTGTTATTTTATTGTTAAGCTTTGAGATTTTGCTTTCTGTTGTTTTTGGCTTTCTAAATGCTCTTATAATCGATTGTATATAGACCTTGCAAAAATCCCACTCCTCTGTTGCATTTGGTTCACTAATTTCCTCTAAGACCTCTTTTTTAAGTTTTTCATTATTAAACATGGTTTTATCAAAGTGCCAATTAGATGGTTGTTTTTGTTTCTAGTTAAGTTGAGTGAGCAACTAACTAGGAGATGATCTGAGTTACCAAAGTGCATAGCAACCTTAGAAACTAAGTGTGATTGATTTTCATCGATAAATATGTAGTCTAAACATGTTGCTATCATGTTACCACCTTGTGTTTTTTGATGAAATGTGAGAAAGGGCTTAGAGTCTGCAATTTCTGCAGTGTTTGAAAAATTTTTTGTTAAATCCAACAGTTGGTTCCTTGATAGGTCTGGCTGAGGTGTTGCTTGACTTATTCTGTTTGCTTCAGGTTTTAGATTTATGTTGAAGTCTTCTGCTATAATGTTTATTGCATTTTCTTTTATTTGAGAAGTCCAGTTGTCAAAAAATGTTACTCTGTTGCTAATGTTTGGAGGTGCATACATATTAGTAATATGAAATAAGAGACCTTTGTAGACAAATAATGCTGTAATAACTTGTCCATCATTGTTTACTTTCATATTTTAAAGGTAATGTTTCTGTTTTTAGCCAGAATTGCCACTTTGTCTGACCAGAGTAAGTCAAATATCTATTGGTATTTTAAAAAGTTTCTAGTGTTTTCATTATTGAAATTAGTTTCTTGTATTATTATTAAATCTAAATTGTAGGATTTTAAGAGTGTTAATGTTTTTTGCTGTTTGCCTTAGTCATTTAGTTCTTTTATATTTAAAGTTGTGATTTTAAGTTTGAATTTTGGAGGCATATAAATGTACAAGAATTTTGACCAATTAGATCTGTGAGGGCAGTCTCTTATTATGTTATTTTCTGTAAGGCTAGGCCTTAATTGGTTCTTATCCTGTAAGCTCTTTCCTTTTTTATCTTTGTCTTTTTTGTGAGATGGCATAGGGGTCTCCTCATTGTCAACTTCCATTATAGGTGATGTTTCTTCTGTGTTTTTGTTTTCTGCCTGTAGTTCTGTATTAAGATACAGTGTAGCTAGTTTATTATGTAGTGCTAATATTGGGTCAGGTAAGAGGTCCTTATCTTTACTTGGTGTAGAGTTTCTTTTATTGTTGTCTATTTCTATTGAAGGTGACAAAGACCCCTTTTGTTCATCTTGTGTTATATCATTTTCTTGTAAGCTTATACCATCTATGATAGACACATCATCTTGCAAGTATGGGTTTTCTTCTTTGTTAGCAGAACTACCTTCATGGAGTTCTTGTTCTGGCCTGATATTAGCTAATTTTTCTTTGCTGTATGATCCAATTCTTTTTTTAAAGTCTTAATATTGTTGGTGAAGGGCTACAGATTCCTGGAATAGCTGGCATTCCTTTTTAATATGCCTTTCTTTTTTACAAAAGTAACATACTTTTGCTGCTGCCTTCTATTCTGTCGTGATTTTGTTATCCCAAATATGAGTAAATCTTGGTATTTTGCCTTCTAAAAATGGATTCTCTGTAGTCTCGAAAATTATAACCCACTGATCTGTTAGGTATGGTGTACCTTCGATTAACAGGGGTTTAATCGATGCTATTTTACCTATATTCTCAAAAGTATCTTTAATTGAGTTTGACAGTTCTTCTTTGTTGCCTAGTGGGACATTCCTGATTTTGACTAGCAAGAATAATTTTCTTATATCTATTGGAACATATCCAAAATATGTTCTGTTGAAAATTTTAATGCCTTTTGTTGCATAGATCTTTAGTTTTTCTTTGTCTGTAAAGATAATTTCTAAATATGATTATGTTCCTTTAGTAAGATGTTGTTTAGCTGTAATAATGTCATTTTTAGCCATTTTAAATAAAGATGACATAATTTCATTAAAAGAGCATCGTAGGCTTTGTATATCAATAATGAGAGCATTTTTATTCTTTGATTTAATTGTGTTCCTAGAAGAAAAGGATAAGTAAGTTGACTGGCCTCTTTTAAGTTTGGGCAAAAGACTTGACTATTTTTTTGTTAGTGGTTCAGTTATTCTACTAGAGCTAGAAGTTGTATTTCTTTCCAAAGTGGAGTCTCTTTGTTCATTTCTTGGTTCATTTTGAGTTGTTGTTTTTGTTATCTATATTAGTCTTGGAGACCTCATTGTTATGTATTGTTGTTTGGATGTTATCTTCATTACGTGTACTAGTTTCAAAAACCTCTTCATTATGTGTATTGACTTTAATAACCTCTTCGTTATGTGTAAAAGTATTGTTGTTTTGTTCTAAAAATGTTTCTATGTTGTTATTTCTTTCTACTGACGAGATTTTCTCTTTTGTTATATATGTTCTATTTTCTTTAAGTTCTTCTTTCTGTGTATTTGTTATTTCCTTGAGTTCCTTAGTTTCTTGAGCTACTTGTTCATCC